CTACGAAGCACACAGCTCTTCACGACATGGCGGCGGCGGCAGCAGCAATACTACAGCGAGAATAAAAGTTACGACTTCTTTTCTTTCTTGAACATTTGGGCGGCATTATGCAAATCTTCCCACATAGTGAGGTAGATATGTGGGGGTGTGTTAGAACGAGCCGTTTTAGGTAGGCGTGGCTGACTCTTTAACTTTTATAAAGAATATCTCTTTGGATTTGAGACTTTAGTCTTTGCAACTTTACAGATCTTCTTTATGCACCAAGAGCTTGTAACACTCCAAAGAGAAAGGAAAAATTGAAATCGCATCATATGACCCCTTTAAGAGCATGTTTGAGCGATTTGCTAAGAGCATAGTGATGGATTAAAAGTTTATTTATTTTTTAATTAAACAACATCAAATTTTATAATATTATTAATTTTATTTTAAATTTTATAAACTAATATTTATTTATTCTGCCAGTAATTTTAATCAACCATAACAATTAGTGGTGTCAACTAGAAATTTATGGTGCATTTTTTATTAAAAATAGTTTTTAGAGTTAACTCCTAAATGGCATCTCTTGAAAAATGCTAGCCTTTTTTATTTATACATATATATTTGTTTTTTATGTATTTATTTGTATTTGTTCCATTTATTGTTCTATTTATTTATTTGCTCCATTTTTTTTCATTATTGTGCATTTATTTTTAATTAAGAAGAATAGATTTTAAAATAAGTCATTTATTAATAAGAGCCCATAGCATGAAAATAATTCAACTAGAAATTAACGTTGCATTCCTTAAAAAAAATAAATAAATAGTTCACTGAAAAATATATTTTGTGGCATGGAAATGTCAAATCTAAATATTCTAATATTCTACTCTTCTTCAAAGGAAAAATGTTTTGAGGATGAGCAGCTGATATTTTTGGGTGAACTGTTTAATTTTAATACCAAACTTGTGCAAAAATAAAAGCGCACAGAGCTCAACACACTGTGTCAGCTGTAATGGAGTTTAATTTGTTGACTTGCAGACAGCATTTCAACCTGATTGCACTTCATGTCCTGGAATTCTACAAAACCCCAAAAGTAAAGCAGCACAACGTTGGCATTTTGAGGGCTTTCATCAGGAAAAAGTGCTGATGTCTTGAGGACGTCGTATAACAGTCTGTTGCACTGTTCTGACTTTGTTCTCCGGTGCTGTTTGCCCCCTGTCGGGCCTCTTTCAGAGTGCTGGTTTGATTCGTTCAGAGCCGTAGCCTGAGCTTTCATCCCTTCGTTCTCGCTGTGTTCTGCTGGAGGTGTCATGCTGACCTGAGAGAGGCTGCTACTGCTGCTGACTCTTCACTCTCTTGCTTTTTTCTCCTCATTCTGTCTCTCAGAGTCCAGACTTCACTGGCATCACAGAAGAGGAGCATCAGGCCAAAGCTTTCACACGCTCACTACAGTCTCTCAGAAATACACTATATTTACTGGAGAACCTGTGAGCCGTGCCTTTCTGAAACTCGGCAGCAGATGCTGGAGTGCTGTGGATTTGCCAAATCTATTATATGGTTTCTGAGGTGTTCTGGGTGGTTCCTAGGGTGTTGCTAAGTGGTTGCTAGAGTGAGTGGCTCTGAGGTATTGACATACGGTTGATTGATTATTCTAGGAGTGCTTGTTTGGTGTTTTGGGTGGTTGTCAGGGTGTTGCTATGTGGTTGCTAGAGTGTTCTAAATGAGTTTATGGTGTTTCTGTGTGGTTGCTAGGGTGAGTGGCTCTGAGGTATTGACATATGGTTGATTGATTCTTCTAGGAGTGCTTGTTTGGTGTCTTGGGTGGTTGCCAGGGTGTTGCTATGTGGTTTCTCTGGTGTTCTAAATTAGTTTAGGGTGTTTCTATGTGGTTGCTAGGGTTAGTGGCTGTAGGGTGCTGCTACATAGTCAATAGGTTCTTCTAGGAGTGGTTTCTTGCTGTTTTTGAGTGGTTTCAGGGTGTTGCTACACAGTTGCTAGTAGGGCTGTGCAATTAGTCGCATGTGATTGTCATGCGCATCTGGTCAGTAAAGCCGGTTCCGTGATTAGTATTAAATCTCCATCACCTGCTTTCAGATGGAGCGGCATTTACTACACAGAGCCGTAGTTCACTGACAATTATGCAATATCGTGTTCATAATCGCAGCTGAATCGCATTCGATTATGAACGCGATATTGCCTAGCTTGTCAGTGAACTACGGCTCTGTGTATTAAATGCCGCTCCATCTTAAAGCAGTTGATGGAGATTTACTACCAATCACGGAACCGGCTTTACTGACGAGATGCGCTTGACAATCGCATGCTATTAATTGCACAGCCCTAGTTGCTAGCGTGTTGTGGGCTTTTACCTACACTGCTGTAAGTGGATGTTAATGTGAGTGTTTTTTTTTTTCATTTTGCTGTAGTGTGTTGCTATGTGGTTTCTCGGGTGTTCTGGAATGATTTTAGGGTGTTTCTATGTGGTTGAGGGTGAGTGGCTGTAGGGTGTTGCTACATAGTCAATAGGTTCTTCTAAGAGTGCTTGCTTGGTATTTCGGGTGGTTGCCAGGATGTTGCTATGCAGTCTCTGAGGTGTTCTGAGTGTTTTTATGTGGTTGCTAAGTGGTCACTGACCTAATTTAAACAAACCCACCTTTGAGTCCGTATAATAGTCTGATCTGTAGTTATGACGTATGTTTTGCTCAGTGTCTCGAGTATGAGCAGGAGCAGAGCCGTGTTAGCAGACAGCACTAATAATAAAGGAGCGGGTGTCCCTCTGTATTTTCCATCTGTCGCTGTGTTCTGTTAGCATCTTGATCGTCCCGTGGGCTGACAAGTGTGAGTGTTAATAGACTCGGCTTCCTCTTCTGTATGAGTGCGAGGATACGCAGCCTCGCTGTCTGTCTGTCTCTCTCGTTCTGTCACCGCGGACACTACAGACGCAAATTATAGAGCAGTGCTTAGCGGGAAACAGACAGAGCCATGGAGAGAGGGGAAGGTGGAGGAGGAGGGCTTCAGTAAGTCAGGAGGAGGTGAAGTAATTAAGAGAGCAGGTCAGTGGAGTCAGCAAGTGAATGGAGAGGTCAGGCAGGGGAAATGAAGTGTCCGAGAGTATGAGCAAAAACATTCAATATCTGCATCTGAGACGCATGCTATTACCAGGGTTATTATAGTAAACTAAAAGTAAAAATGAATAATAAATGAATAATAAATAAATAAATTTTAAAAATCCGTTATTTGAAATAAATATAAAAAAAAATATTTCAGCTACTGTAGTTGCCGAGGCAACATTTCTCAACTTGACATACTTAAATATCTAAAACTGAAATACATATTATATTAACATATTTCAAAAAAATAAAAATAAAAACACAAAACAATTATTAAAACTTTAACATAAATTAAAATGAAAAATATACAAATAAAAACTAATTAAAAATACTAATAAAAACTATTATAGTATCTCAATGATACTAAAATAACACTGGCTGTTACAGAAATGCACCGGGTTCAGTACAAGTTAAGCTAGTTAATCAACAGTATTTGTAGCATAATGTTACTACATTACTACAGGAAATAATTTTGACTGTGATAATAATAATAATAATAATAATAATGCTCTTGGTATACAATATGCTTCAAAAGTTGGGGGTTGGTAAGATTATTAAAAATATGTTTAAAAGAAGTGTCTTTTGCTCACCAAAGCTGTTTATTTCATCAAAAAATACAGTAAAAACTGTAATGTGAAATATTATTACTGTTTTAAATAACTGGCTTATATTTGTATATATGTTAAAATGTAATTTATTGCTGTGATCAAAGCTGAATTTTCAGCATCATTACTCCAGTCTTCAGTGTCACGTGATACTTCAGAAATCATTCTAATATGCTGGTTTGCTGCTCAAGAAACATTTCTGATTATTGTCAGTGTTAACAAACAATGCTGTTTCATATTTCTTTTTTTTTTCAGGATTATTTGATAAATAGAAAGTTCAAAAAACAGCATTTATTTAAAATATAATATTTTGAATGCTATTACTGTCACTTTTGATAAATTTAATGCATCCTCCTTGCTGAATTCAAGTATTAATTTCTTTTTTAAATCTGAAAACATTTAAATTAGAATTAAATTAGAATTAGAATAAATTAAAACCCGGATCACAGAGAGGTGAATAAGGTCCTGGTCAGACTCAAGGTGAGTCACGTGATGTGCTTTAGCATGTTAGCATGCATCTGATCTGCAGCATCTCTGTCACAAAAATGATTAAACGTCAGTAACGAGGGTCAGACTGAAGGAATTAAGACAGGAGTTGTGAGAGGCTTTACTGAGTGTTAGCTGGGCTCCGACGCGCCTCGTCCTTGTCATCATAAATTACCACTGGATGAGAGCGTATTGACAAAGCAATCAATGGTGGCTCAGAATTCAGCTGAGGGCCACAGGCATCCCAAAATGTCAGCGTGTGATGACAGCGCTAATGAATGGATGCCAGGCCCGCGGAGGTAAAGCATAAGGGATCTGTCATCATGCTGCTTACTTCACACTTTCTTTGAACGAGAGCACCGATTCGGGACGAGTCTGCGCCCTCATCTTCTGTCGTTTTCCTAAACTCGCTTGACATTGATTCTACTCCTCTTTCTGAATCGCAGATCATCCGTACGGTCCTGTAAGGACAGTATTATGAAGGTTTGCAAGCTGAGGCTAGCAAACTGTAAATGTTTCTCAATTCCTGGAGAATCATTGAAATGTTCTGTCAGATGTTTTGTGGCTTCATAGCTCTCTGACTTTATGAAGTCATCTTTCTAAAGCCTTTTCTAATATCTTCCTATTTCTCTTTTACAGGTATCAAGACATGAGGCGACAGATTGGCTTCGAGATCCGAGACATGTGGTACAACCTGGGTGAGCTGACCTTTAAGAGATAATTATTAAATCAGACAAAAATAGATGTAAAGTACACAAGTGTATGTCTATCTGTAAGTTCTTAACACAGCAAATGGTTTATTTATTATTGCAGAACTTTCTTGAATACTTTTATGGTTTTATCAAGCACAATCTGCTTGTTTTTGAATAATTTCATATACAATGTAATGTCTAAGTTTTGTACAGTTTTGCATAGTAACTCAATAAACTACAAATCACTCTACATTCTCACATGATTTTCAACTCAAAATCACTATTTCATGTCCAGCTATGTGTTTAATAAATAGCTGTGTTGTTAGTAGGGGTACAGGTTAAAGATGCAATGAAAGCCTGATTTAAAGTGTTGTGGTTTTTAGTCCATGTTTGTTATATATATGCTCATGTTGTGTTTACAAAATGAACTTTTTGCTCAATTAAACTGCTGTTCAAAACTTTTGGGTCGGTAAGATTTTTAAATATTTTGGAAAGTCTCTTCTGCTCACCAAGGCTGCATTTATTTGTTCAAAAATACAGTAAAAATGGAAAAATTGTGAAATAATATTATTTAAAATAACTGTTTTCTATTTGAATATATTTTAAAATATAATTTATTAATGCAATGCAAAGCTGGATTTTCAGCATCGTTACTCCAGTCTTCAGTGTCACATGATCCTTCAGAAATCATTCTAAAATGCTGATTGCTGCTTAAGAAATGTTCTTATATTATTATTATTATTATTATTATTATTATTATTATCAATGTTGAAAACAGTGATAGTTTGTTTCAGGATTTTTTGATACACAGAAAGAACACCATTTATTTGAAATAGAAATCTTCTGTAATATTATAAATGTCTTTACTGTAGGCTTGCCACAATAGACGCTGCTGATGGTGATACCGGTGTTAAGCTGCAACACCGGTTACGTCACTTGCCCACCGCGGCACCTACCCCCACCATCGTTTTGATTTTTTGTAGTAGCCTAATAAAAATCATTTAGTTCAGTAAAAGAACAGACACTACAATTAAAAACTGAACGCGGCTGCTCAATGCAGCTTGCCGAACGACAGTCGCATCACAGATCTGATTTAATTTCTCCAGTGAGGAGAGTGAGTCGAGCTGACTGACAAGAAGAGTGAGGTGAGACAGAAAAGACGATGGCGGATGATTTAGTTTCGAAACGAAATGCAAAAGTGCCTGTTTGGCAATATTTTGGATTTTGAAAAGCCTGTTGACTTTTGCCGTTTATCTAAGGTGATTTTGGAAGTTTTTTTTTTTATTTGTTTCTTATTTAATTGGTTCCACATTGTTTGCGGATTTTTACTTTATCTAAACTTTGTGTCATTTATTTATTTTATTTGACATCAAGGTGTATGCCGTGCCTCCAAGCTTTCTTACTCGTTTTGTTAATAAACGTTCTACGTTTCTTATTTATTTAGTTGTATATATATTATACATGTTTACTAAGCCTATTTCCAGTTTTGTATACCTATTTAAACTTATTGTAAAGTTATTTGTTATTTTATATTAGGCATAGCCTGCCCTTTAGCATGGTCTATTTTTATTTGTTTTGTTAATAAAAGTTCTATGTTTTATATATAGGCTAAAGTGAGTTTGACGTTGTATTTTGTTGTTGCATTCAAGCAATTGAAGTCGAACTGCCGCTAATAAGTGAACATAAAATGTGCACGGCGCTTTTAAGCTATTTAAAAGCGAAGGAAAGCGAGGAAAATAGGGAAAATTCAAACGAACAATTGCTTTACGCCGAATTGCCATTATTTAAAAGTGAAAGTAAAATGCGCACGCTGCTTTTACAAGCTATTTAAAAGTGAAGGAAAGTGAGAAAAAGAGGGAACGCCCCTGCCCCCACGGTGATACCGGTATTACCGGTGTTGTCAAACGTCGATTTACCGGAGGGAAAATTTCCTCACCGTCACAACCCTACTTTACTGTCACTTTTGATCAATTGAATGCATCCTTGCTGAATAAAAGCATTAATTTCTTTTTTTTTTAAATAAATAAAATCAAAGCACATTTAAAATATGTAGTTTTTCTATGAGATTCTTGAAAAAGGCTCAACCCTTGTGTGTCCCGAAAAACCACGGCATCTTTAAAAGGTTCCCCAGCTTTCACGTGCCATATTCACTAACTTAGGTATCATTTATTTTTGTAAGGCTTATGTCTGGCCCATTTGTATTGCTTACAGCTTTAGCATTGGTTCAGGTGGGTTATTTTCCGACCGAGACACCTTGCGGTTATTTAGAGTCGTGCAAACGGAAATGCTCTGAAAGTGAAGGTGCTAATTAGTGGCAGGACAGTTGAGGAAGAACCACTGTGAAAGTATTTTCGGCTCCCACGTTCCTCTCTGAAGGAATTTTTGCCACCTCACGCTAGACGTGTTTCTCAGCTGCCTTTGGTTGTTCGTTAGCTGGCAGCGTTTGATAGCGGGTTTACACCAGAGATTCAGAGATCTTTGGCTGTATTCAGCGCTGTGATTGTGCGAAACCCTGAAGATTAGCGGAGAGCGGATGAAAGTCTGTCTTTTGAGAGCTGTAGAAATCGTGCCTCTGAAATAGAAGTTGTACACAGCTCACAAAAATACATAAAAGTTGCTGTTAGACACAAATAGGCACTGCAAGGAAGTAGCTGAGAGCTGATATTCCCTGTGCTGTTGCACCTGCCGGCAGAAATATCACAAACATATCCTGTTTGTACGGCATAAAACACACAGAAAAGATCTTAAACAAATAAACTGAAGAATTCAGGCATGCTAACCTGAAAATTTCTTCTCAACACCCTGCAGGTCCACACAAAATCAAGTTTATCCCTGAGATGGTGGGTCCGATTCTGGAGATGACGCTGGTTCCTGAGATCGAGCTGCGTAAAGCCACCATTCCCATCTTCTTTGACATGATGCAGTGCGAGTTTCACTTCAGACGCTGCTTCCAGACGGTCAGTTTTCACAGACATCAGTAACTGTGTGATTTCTGTGATCATTACATCCTAATTTGCATACTTGTACTGCATACTAATAGTACAGTTCATGGGAAAGTACGCTACCATTTAAAAGTTTGGGGTCAGTTCGTTTTTTTTTTTAATGTTTATGTCTCTTGTGCTCAGAAAAGCTGCATTTATTTGATTAAAAATACAGTAAAAACTGTGAAATATTATTGCGATTTAAAATAACTGGTTTCTATTTGAATGTGTGTTAAAATGTAATTTATTGCTGTGATCAAAGCTGAATTTTCAGCATCATTATTCCAGTCTTCAGTGTCACATGATCCTTCAGAAATCATTCTAACATGCTGATTTGCTGCTAAAAACATTTAGTTTTATTATTAATGTTGAACACAGTTGTGCTTCTTAATTTTGTTTATTTATTTATTTGTTTTGTTTTATGTGGAAACTGTGATACTTTTTTTTCTGGATTTTTTTTTAATGAATAGAAATATTACATTAGAAATAGAAATCTTTTGTAACATTATGCATCACTGCTGAATAAAAGTATTAATTTCTTAAAAAAAAAAATGTTATGACCCCAATAGTTGATGCAGGGTTGATTGGTGGTGCATTTACAGTAATTTTAAGTAGTAATGTCACGAGACCAACATTTCAGTAGTAAATACTAAAAGCTTTTAAATACAAAAAAATTCATGACTCTTTATTACCACATGTGCTTTTTAAATATTAAAATCATGTTTAAATATTAAAATGCTAACATATTAAACTGAACATGTGGTCTTCAGGTGTTTCTCAGTAATTAAACATTGCTTCTTAAATTAATTATTCAAATGAACAGACAGTCGCAGAGCTCTTCACAGAGCATGTGTGCAAATACGCATGTGAGCATTCGATTTTTGCTAATTTCACTGTACTGAGATACAGTATAACAAATACAATCCAGTCTAAAGCATGGAAGTGAAGCACTATTAATGATGTCTAAGTTTACAGAGTTGTATTGTCCACCAGGCAGCAATTGCATCAAACTTTATGTAGTTAGGGATTTTTTAAGTATTAAAATCGATGCTAATTATGACATCTACAGTAAGTCTGTGAGTTATCTGACATTTGAGGATGATGTGAGGAGGACAGAAATCATAATTTGTGTGTGTGTGTGTGTGTGTGTGTGTGTGTGTGTGTGTGTGTGTGAGTTTGCATTGTGTTCATCTATACTGAAGACATCTCACTTCATAACTTACGAAAGAAAATCCCTCAGACGCCTGTGTGTGTGTGTGTGATGAAGCGCAGTGATGGTAATCAGCAGATAAAGTTGAGCTCACAGTCGGTGTGACTGATAACGGCTGATTACTCTCTGACACCGCGTAAGAGAACGAGAAAACACAGGAGGAGGAGAGAGAGGAGGGTTGGGAGGAACGACGCTAATGAAATGAAAAATTAGCCACACTCGTTATTTACGGCCACTGTGTTTAATTGCAGTTTGAGAACGAGATCATCACCAAGCTGGATCATGAGGTGGAAGGCGGCCGAGGAGACGAACAGTACAAAATCCTCTTCCAGAAGATGTGAGCGCAGATCACACACACACACACACGTTATTATAATTGCTACATGAGGCTACATGAACAGAGCAGAAGAGATGTGTGCCTTTAAAAGACAATAATCAAATCAAAACTGACCCTAATTAATTTGTTTTTAATATTAAAGATTTTTATTCAATATTTAAAGTTTTTTTTTTATTATTATTTGTGTATATATATTTTAAAAACTGGCCATATTTAATTTTCATCTCGTTAAATATTTGTTATTACCGTTAACTAAAACAAAATAAGCATTAACTAAAATAAAACATAAAAAAAAAATATTTTGGCTAGTTGCCAAGGCTACATTTATAATTTTTGTTTAGTTTAACTTTAAGTGCTAAAATAACTAAAACTAAATAAGCTAAAACTAATAAATAAAAATTTATAAAAACTAAAGGGAAATATTAAAAAAACTAATAAAAATTACAAAAACACACAACTGTAAAATTAAAGTGAAAACAAAGTCTAAAAATAAGATCTAAATATTAACAAAAACTATGAAAGCATTTCAATGATCTTTAAAAAATCACTTAAATATAAAATGTTTAAAATTAAATTGTATTTAATTTCTTTGCATATAAATGTTCTTGGTCTTATTGAGCTTCTTATTGAGATTTTTCAGTGCATTTTGTATGAAATAAATGTTTATTTTCACTGAAACTGAACTGAACTTACTCTGCTTCTCAAATTATTTTTTCTTCCTTTCAGTGTAATCAGTGGCACATGCGCAAATATTAACTAATAACATAATGCCTAATTCGTCAAGTCTTTTACATTAAAAAGTGCATTTTGCTTAGAAATGTTATTATTTCATAAGGAGTTTAGGGACATTTAAGTTGAGCATGAAATCAAATTTGCTTTCGTGTTGACTCTACATGCATTGCATATGCTGTTTCATGTCTCTAGTTCAGGACACAGCAGTGTGACTTTCACTTTTAATGTATGTATGTCTGTGATAGTCTGTTGGAGCACTGCAGGAAGCACAAGTATCTGGCTAAGACTGGCGAAACCTTCGTAACTCTGGTGGTCCGTCTGTTGGAGAGACTTTTGGACTACAGGACCATCATGCATGACGAGAACAAGGAGAACCGCATGAGCTGCACAGTTAACGTGCTGGTGAGGAGAACATTTAGTTTCTCGACGGAGCATCTCTGCAGCAAACCCTTGAGTTTTTACAGTGCATCTTCACTTACATAAATGCATCCAGTATTTCCTGACGGAGCGCGCTCTAACTGGAGTGTGTAGGCGTCCTGATGGCCTGGAGTAATTGCATCAGCTCCTTTGTAACTTTATAATTGGCTCAAACTCTTTATACATGCCCACGAGCATTAAAGTTACGGCTTTGTTCAAACGTAGCATCAATGAAGAACTTGAATCTGACAGTACTGCATATCAAAAATGATCTCTCACTGAAACAGTGCTGTTAATTCCACGTCCGAAGGCTTGGTTTGTTTTTTTTATTGGCTGTACTTTCACGCATATCACCAGTTTTACAAACGAACTGAACATTTTTTTGGTAGACAAGAGTGCACTTTAAATCTGAACATGCTGTGTTAAACATGACTCTCAAACCTCTCACTGGTCGGTGTAGAAATCAACAGCATGAGTACACAAGGACAGAAGACGTCGCAGGGATGGTGATGGATTCTTCTAGAGCCCATTATCTCTCAAATACCGATTTGTAGTTCTTTGTGAACTGAGGTCAGGATGTGTTTAGCATGAATAAGTGACCTTGTTTCTCTTGCAGAATTTCTACAAGGAGATAGAGAGAGAAGAGATGTACATCAGGTGAGCGGCTTTATGTGTGTATGGTGTGCATGTGTGTGCGCGTGTGCGTGTGTGTGTGTGTGTGTGTGGAAGATCATGGAAAAAAGAAAGAAAAGAAAACGAAAAAAAAATTCACCGGTGAGAATTCCAGATGCAGGTCAAGTCGTGCTTTTGGAAGTCAAGTCAAGTCAAGTCACCTTTAGGACAACCACCTAGCAGTGCATTACAATAGTCCAGTCTAGAGGTCATGAATGCATGAACTAGCTTTTCATGAAGGAAGGAAAGATAAAGCCTACCATCTTTTCAAAAGTTTTTTGAAAGAAAATTATGCTTTTGTTTGGCAAGGACACATTAAATTGAGCCAAAGTGACGGTAAAGATATTTATAATATAAAATAAGTCTATTTCAGATACAGTAAATGCTGCTCATTAGCATTTTTCTTCATTTATTTTAGCTTGCACTAAATTAATAAAACCATAACTCAAATTAAAATGAAAACAGAAAATATAAAAACAAAAATATTGTTAAATATTTAAAAATATATTAAAAACTATAATGAAGTGTGTAATGTTGGTCGCTTCATCATGCACTCACTTGTCACAACTTTAATTATGTAATTGGGGGAGGGGCTATCAGACTACCATGTTGGATGTCAAAATAACCTTATTAAATACACTTGAGTACAGTGAGTACAGTGCACAGAATAAGTGCATTATGCATCATTTGGGACACAACCTATGCATTGGCGAACCAGAATATAAAAATGGCATGATTTGATTTCTGAAAACATTCCATTTGTAATTTTTATCTTTAAGAATCTTAAGTTTAGAGAAGAAAAATTTCTCTGCGATTCCCTGTGTTTGGAGTCATACGTTATGTGAATGTCGAGTTAACCTGAGCACTGTAGCTGCTCTGAGCTGGTGGCCTTTGTGAGTTTGTTGTTAAAGCTTTTTTTTTATTGTTCAGATTGTTAATGTCGTGTGTGTGTGTGTGTGTGTGTGTGTGTGTGTGTGTGTGTAGGTACCTGTATAAGCTGTGTGACCTGCATAAGGAGTGTGATAACTACACTGAGGCCGGATACACCCTACTGCTGCACGCTAAACTCCTCAGGGTAACTCCACACACGTTTACCTTTTACCTTGGTAGACGTATCTGGATGTCTCCAGTAAAGACACTACATTTATTCTTACTCGTGTCAGTAAATGAAGGTTCAGTGAACATGTGATAATGATGATCACCGGCAGGATCTACAGTATCCAGTATGATTTAATTGGAAATCTCACTGTTGAAAACTCAGACAGAAATAATTCAGGCACATTTCCATTTCTGAGTGCTGATGTTCTACAGAAGGGTGTTTTTTTTCCCGGTTAGGTGAACGAGTGCTTGCTGCTCTCATCTGACATTTTAGAAAGTCACCTCAAGTGCAGATTTGAGAACAAATCTCTGGTAGAAAGACACTTAAACTTTGCCAAAGACATGATTGCGGTGCTTGCAAGGCTTTAAGTATTAAAATTCATCAATATTTAGTATAAAACTTATGAAACTTAAGGTATTACATTTAATACCCAAGTATTAAAACTTCTGTAATTAATTCATCCACTTAACATACAGGCGTCCTTTTTGGTTTTTGTATACTTAACTGACAGTCAGCTTTGCATAATAAATTGCGACTGAGTCATTTTCTTGCATTTATTTGCATAGGAATGTTACTTTTTATATCTGTTTAAAGTATAGTTCACCCAAAATTTGCTTAAAATGTCCTCACCCTCAGGTAATTCAAGATGTAGATGAGTTTGTTTCTTCATCAGATTTGGAGAAATGTAGCATTACATCACTTGCTCATCAATGGCTCCTCTGCAGTGAATGGGTGCCGTCAGAATGAGAGTCCAAACAGCTGATAAAAACATCACAATAATCCACAAGTAATCCACACCACTCCAGTCCATCAGTTAACATCTGGAGAAGCAAAAAGTTGTGTGTTTGTAAGAAACAAAACCATTAAGACGTTTTTAACTTTAAGCCATTGCTTCCAGCTAAAATCCATAATAATGCTTCCTCAAGTGAAAAAGTCCATCTAATGTTGTCTCTCACATCAAAATCCAGCCACTTATTTTAGAGCTGTTTTGGACTGTTTTTGCTTGTAAACGGTGTTTGATCTGTGCAGATTTCTCTCCTGATTCAGACGAGATGACTTTTGCACCGAAGAAAACAATATTATGAATAGAGGACTCGTATTTTGATGTTAAAAATCTCTTAATGATGGATTTGTTTCTTACAAACACACAGTTTTTCTCTTCACAAGATGTTAACTGATGGACTGGAGTGGTGTGGATTATTGTGATGTTTTTATCAGCTGTTTGGACTCTCATTCTGACGGCACCCATTCACTGCAGAGGAGCCATTGATGAGCAAGTGACGGAATGCTACATTTCTTCAAATCTGTTCTGATGAAGAAACAAACTCTGCATTTTAGATGGCCTGAGTGTGAGTAAATTAAGCAAATTTTCATTTTAGAGTGAACTATTCTTTTAAGCATATAGTCACCTTTAAAGTTGCATTTCTATGCACAGCACATGCGTTTCATGACAAATGCAAAGCTCTGATGTGCCATTTAATTAGCACATTTGCATGACCGAGAACCTAACCTTACCCAAAGCATTAACATTATATTATGAGGCTGCTTTGCAAGCACTACTGTGTCCTTTAGGAAATGCAAATTTATTCTAGTCAATCTTGGGAGTTAAGTATTGATAATTGGCATTAACTGTTAGTTGAGCAAATGGATTAATATGTATATTGGCTTGCTGTTTAATCACATCTGCGTTTGGGCTCAGCGTGTGTTCTGTAGTGAATCTCGGATTGTCATCGGTTGTAGGCTGTCACAGTGAGCGAGGGAACACCACGCTCTCTCGAACCCACACAGCTTCTTTTCATAAATAGCTACCGTCGTTCTGTTTGCTCCTGCATACAAGAGCGAGGCTCCCACATGCACATACTTACACACACCTTGTGTTTCACACACTATTCATGCATTTACAAACACAAACGCACCTCTCAGTCCTGTTCAGAGACCGCACCAAGACCTGAACCTTTGCAGCTGATTATCTGCTCATTTGGACGTTGGTGAAATCAGCCGTTCTATGGGTGCCTATATTCAAAATACATTTTGTAAGTCTTTAAACATGCATTCAGACAAATAACGGGACAATACTTTTACATTTTGTTCTACAATGTAAACTGCGCACACTCACAGCCCAAACGTTCTTATCTAGTTACTTATTAAAAACATACCTTTTCAAAAATGAATATAACTGCTTCAAAAATTGTGTTTTGTGTATGGATGCGTGTAATTTACATTGTAGAACAAAACGTAAAAGTATCCTCAAGTTATGTTTACCACAGGCTTTATTTTACTCGTTAATTGGAAAATTTTGAAGGAACCCGTGGCGGATTATACTTCCGGATTCTGACATCATAGTTCCCCTACTCTGTTGATGATGATGATGACAGTAACTGCAGAGAGACCAGCGCTGACATCTCACAATGAGAAACAGTCAGAGTGCTGAACAACTAGTCCAACAACCTACTGGTTAAAGGCTCCAGAAACGCACATGATGAAGAACGCCACCTGGCTTGGTTTTTCCGTTCCTCCTCACACCGATGATGCACTTTCCTGAGGTGCTTGACCTCCACTGTTGCACAAAGCTCCATGAAATGTCAATTACGTTCACACTACAGTGAATCAGTCCTGACAGAGCCTTTAACACAATACAGTAGCTCAGTGTGACAGCCAATAGCAGAGGCCCGCAGGACAGTCAGCTGACCCGCTCCAGCCAATCAGATCGCTCGTTTTCCTGTGTGTGTGTTTTTATTCCACAGAGGCTTTGAACTGAGCGGTCAGCAAAAAAAACAAGAGTTCTTAATCTGCACAGTTTCTCCCTATAATCACTTGTTTACAGGATCAGGCAGCATCTGTAATGAATATTACAGTGTGGCCACATAAATCAGCGTTATCAGATGGGCTCTCGACGCCGGCACGGAAATACAGCCAAAACCTTTCAGATTTTCAGCACAACAAAATTAATATCGCCAGCAGCTGCGATCTTTTCCACGACATTCTAATTTATTGAGATGCACCTGTATATGTATATATATATGTATATATATATATAGAGAGAGAGAGAGAGAGAAAATTAAATATATATATATTGAAAATTATATTGTATATATATAAACAAAAACTACTAGAATGACAAAATTACTAAAATTAAAATGAAAAAGTCAATATTACAATTAAAACTGATTCAAAACATTAATACACTGCCAAAAAAAAAATGTTTCTCTGTAATTGTGCCTTTATTTCCAAAATAAATATATAAACATTCTTGAATCAAGATACATTTACTTGAGAAGCAAAATTACTTAAGATATCAAGTCCTGTTTTCTGAAAAAAAAAGTCAAAATTGTCTCAAAATATCTGAACAAGAAAAATAATCTTAATCCAAAGGGAAAACAAGGTTATTTTTACTATAGTAACTATAATATAGCATGACCACAATTTGGTTAATATCAGACTATTTTGTGCATGTAAACACAGTCAGTGATTGTAATTGATGCAAAAAAGACAATGGTTCTTATGTTTGTAGTAACCACATTTTAATTCTGGATTCAAAGATGGACTCGGAATTTTTTGCAGGAATGGAATATTATCAGTGCATAACTTAATGTAAATTTGAGTCTGTTTATCACAGGCTTCAGATGACTGGGAATTCAAGCACATGAAGTCATGTGGACTAGGCTTATACTGTAGTTTTGTAGTCTTATTTGGTGTTTTTGAAAGCCTTTTGTATGGAAAGAGATGCTTCAAAATGTTCACCTCTGGTTTTCCACAACAGCGTACGGTTAGAGACATCGTGAGGATGTGTCGATAATGACACGGTTTTCATTCTGAGGTGAACTATTCCTTTAGTGCTCTGCAGTCTTGACAGGAAAATTGAGGAAAGTAATTTTCATGCTGAACATGGGGTCCAATATTACAGTGCAAGTTTCACTTTATGCGCCGTACTTACTTTATTCTTCCTCCGGTCTGAATAACTAATCCACGTCATGTCCTACAGACTGCAGATACTATTACTGGCAGCTTTCTCAATAATAATGCACTGCAGCTATTGATATATAATCACAGTCTCTCTCTCTCGGTGCCGCCAGGATGCACTCAGAGTTTCATTTGAAGAATTAGTTATATATCAAATCCTGTGCAGCAGAAGTGTGATGCTAGTTGGGGGGTTTATTTACACTTGGCATTTGAAGTTATAAGTTTGATATGAGATTGTCAGAGTCGAGGAATATCCGTATAACTGTTTAGATGAGGTCATGGATATTGACTCACTTAAGGCCACCTGCTCCACCCAAAGAAAATAAAAATCAGTGACACATTTATATATATATATATATATATATATATATATATTATATATCACATACTGATAAAAATGTATAGCCTGAATGCACTGTAAGTCGCTTTGGATAAAAGCATCTCTTCATCTCAAGATATATTCACTTGAGATGTAAAATGAAGATATGAAGTCTTGTTTTTTGAGAAATTGCACAAAATGTTTATTCTTAATACCTAGAACAAATATCTGTCAGTGAGGTATGAAAACATGTTTTCCTTTTGAATTAAGCAGATTTTTTTCTGAGCTCATTGGCAGAGATTTGTACTTTTTTAATTATAATTTACTTCATTTTGATTAATATCTCAGAAAACAACTTCTAATGTCATTTTTGCATCTACCTTGATTTAATGGTTTGTAGACATTTGCACTGAAAAACAAGACAAAATTGTACAGTGTAAGACACAATGCACAGTAAAAGTTATTTCCATGTTCTATTTAAGCTATTTATTGAAGTATACAATTAATTGAAAAGTAACTGAGATCGGTTGGAAGTTGTGACTCATTGTGTTCTCCTTAGATGTCTACATTAAGAGAACACATTGACATATTGCATTCCCTTTCATTTAACCTTAAATAGTCTTTAATTGGTCTTAAAAAGTCTAAAATTCACCTTCATAAAACTTGCATGAAGCCTGATTTAATATTTCACTTTTTTTGTACAAAACAATGCCTTTACAGCCTTCAGTTTAGCCCCATTGACTTCCAATGGACGTGCATTACAGTGCATGGCATGCAATTTTTCTGTTTGTTTTTACAGAGGAATCTAAAAGTCCTATCCCAGAACGTTCCTTTAATGATCTCTTAAATATTTAACGCGATCAGCATGGTGCAGCTGCGTAATCTTTGTATCCGTTTCAGCATAAATCTCAGAAAGCACTTTTTGTTTGACAGTCAACTCACAGCGCATTGTTCACAGATGGTTAGAAGGATATCACACCACTGTGTTTTGACATAATGAGCTCCAAGGATGACGTTTGATGTGTGTTCTGGTGCTCTGTGTTCAGATGTGGGAGGAGGCCATTATCCTGGGGAAGGAGTTAGCCGAACAGTACGAGAACGAGATGTTTGACTTTGAGCAGCTGAGCGCTTTACTGGTACGTACAAACTTTCTCTCTCAAGGTTTTACAATGAAACAAACAATTAATGGGTCATTCAGACTGTTAAAGTTCACCAAAGTACCTAAATTGGCCTAATATAAATGGTCAGAGGGTTTTAATGAGTTTCTGCATTTTGTTCATTAGTTCGATTTCGTCTAATTGTCAACAAATCGATCCATTCAGACAAACAACGAATTGTGGTCTGATTTTATTTGAAATCAACTGTTGGCACCTTTTGCACAGTCCTGAACGAAAGTTTGTGACCAACTTTTATTGGATCCCTTCACATGTTGATCTCGACCTGTTTTTATAACCTGTTTGGCGTTTTTCAAAAATGTGAATGTATTTTATTTAAAACTATGTATATTATACAGTACATATAAATTAATTTTATTTATTTTTTATGTAATATAAATAATATTTGCATATATAGTAATAAATACAATTAGTTGAGCTAATCATCAGTGCTTTTGTGAAATATAATTACTTTTTATTAAACTATTATTAATAAACAACCCAACAACTCTTAAGGAACCTAGCAACGCCCTGGCAACCATCCATAACACCATGGATCACCATGGCAACAGCTGTTGTACAGGAATTGTATTTTTGTAACTGAGCACTGATGATCTGATTGTCTCTGTGTCTCTCAGAGGAAGCAGGCTCAGTTTTATGAGAACATCGTGAAAGTGATCAGACCAAAGCCGGACTACTTCGCTGTAGGTTATTATGGGCTGGGCTTCCCCTCGTTCCTGCGGGTGAGAATTTCTCTTATTATTGTGAATCTTTTCATATTTCACCATCACCGTGGAGATCTGTTTCTTTGTGTAAATGCATTGCATTGTGAATTCGTCTGATATGTTTCCAAAGGCCTGGAAATCAATTACTGGTGTCTTTGTGTGGCCTCTCCAAACTCATCAACAGCTGTCCTCAGTACTGCAGAAACCTTCATTCAAATACAGCCATTTTCATGTTCCAGGGGTTGATTTTTATTCAAACTAACAGATTTATTTTCCTTTTGATATACAGTGGGTACGGAAAGTATTCAGACCCCCTAAGGGGGTCTGAATACTTTCCGTACCCACTGTATGTCGGTCGATTTTTACCATGCCTTCATCATTATACTTTTCACCTTTTGTGTATTGATTCTTTTTCACCTTTTTGTCCCAGACTTTCAGTCTCAAAATATAATCATGAATTCTACATTTCAGTTCTATTGTTAGTATTTGTATTCGTATTAGTGATAGCATTAGTATAATTATTAGCTTCTTCCCAGTTTCCATTTCAGTTCCACTTTGCCCGCTCAAAGCCAATGTTTTCAAGGCTGTTAAAAAATATATAAAATAACCAAAAACCATCTCAATATTTATTAAATATTATTTGTTGAATTAAGTAATTTATTTGTATTTAATTCAATTATATTCTTCAGTTCAATTATTAATTAGTATTATTTTGCAATTATTATTATTTTATTTTTAGCTTATTTTATTACCAAATCTCTTTCAGTTCCACTTTGCCACTCAAATCCAATGTTTTTAATGTTTATAAAATGACCAAAAACCATGTCGATATTTATTAAATTAATGTAATTATTTGTATTCTATTCAATTCAATTCTATTATTCATTTTAATTATTTATTTGTTTTACTACCAAATCTTTGTCAGTTCCACTTTGCTCATGTTTTAAGGTTGATATAACATTTTTTTAAATAACCAAAAACCAACTCAATATTTACTAAATACTTATTAAATTCCTGAATTTATTTGTATTCAATTCAGTTAATAATATTCAGTTAAATTCTTATAATTGTTTTTTTTTTTTACTTTTATTACCAAATCTATTTCACTTCCACTTTGCAGCTCAAATCCGATGTTTCTAAGGTTTTTCGCATGGCTTTTCAAATGTGGTCTTGACAAACACTCATCTAAATTCTCTCATATGTGAAACCAATACAATGATTTGGTAAAGCAAATGAAGTGCTATCAAAGCTTATATGCAGTAAAAATGCAACGTTGATCAAGTATGAAGGTCAGACAGAAAAAAGGCAGGGCGATATTAATATTCTGTGGACTCAAGTGTTTGCATTCTCTGTTTTTTTTTTCTATATATTTCCCTGCCAGAATCTGTCGTTTATGATGAAACAGAATCATTCACCTTCCACAGATCATGCATGTGTTTAAGCCTCTGGTTGTGGCACTGAATCGCCTCAGATATATTTGTAATTCTGTTAATTCTCTTCCAGCGGCCTGCAGTCACGTGTCTCCCACCAACCATCCTGGGAACAAAAAAATAAATCAGCATCTAAAGGCCAGTCGCCTCCTGCTAGTGTTGACATGTTGCTCCGTGGAGAGAAGCTTTGCCTTTTAAAACTCAAAACGTCTTGCAATCTCCTCTCTCTCCTTAAAGTGGCACTTTTGTATGCGCGCGGAGTCGTGCGAACACAGACGGTTTATTCCGCCGTGCTTGGAATCACCAGCGGTGTGAAAACGCCCGTCGAGAGCACAGTCCAATTTGTCACCTTATCGCTCAAAGCAGATTTGAAAACAGCCCAGGGCATATTTCACCTCCGGTTCACATTTCACTAATTGAGCAGCTGAAATATGTTCGTGCAGGCAGGGAGTGTGTGTGTGTGTGCGTGTGTGCATGTGTGCGCACCAGTGCATCTCTCAGCCTGTTTTCAGATCGAATACTAGCACGCTGCTTTCTACTATTGTGAAATATTAAATGTGAGCATGCATTGTTCTACAATAAACACTTCAATTCCACACATATTGACAATTTAGTATCCCGTTCCGTCGCTCTCCCTCTCGCTGTGATATTTCTCAGCGTGTGTGTGGGTGTTTGTGTGCACACAGCGGTCTGAGTGTAGTTGTTCGCACAGACGCTGCGAGTGGAAACATATTGACGGTGTTGTAGGTGGGCGCTGATGATTGACGGTGTCTTTATGGGAATGTGCAATAATTGAGCGTTTCCAGACTGCCAAACGCCTGTGAATTACAGCCACGGTGGCTATTTAAAATTCAACGTTAAAACTCTAAGAAATACAGAATGAGCTTCTCTGAAGATGAGATGCGTTTTTCTGTGTCATTTTACTGTTTTCATAAAATCCCTGGATTCATAGATGATGATGATAATTGAATGATCTAGATTGGTGGTTCTCAGCTGGTTTTCTTTAAGGAATCCCAACATGCTACCAAGTGTTTATTACTGTATTAATATTTGCATTACATAGATATAAACTCACAATTATAAGAAAAAAATCTGAATTGCAAGTTTGCAACTCTGAGTTTATATATCGCAATTTTGCCTTTTTAAAACACTGTGGAGTTTGATTGGATACACAGCCTTTGATATTGGCAGCAAAAGTTATGTGAAGCATTTTGTCCACTCTTTTAGATATTTCATAAGTCTATTTATCTCAACTATGCATGATCACATGGTTAGTTGCATTTTGTTATTTGGCACTGCTAAAACTAAAATGTATGTGACCCTGAGAACCACCAGTTTTGATAATAGTTCTGTTGGCTGTTTAATGCATTAAAATAATGATATTTTTTCTTTATTGTTTAATGTTAAGTTGATGCTCCAGAAAACGTATTAAAATGCTTTTTTTGTGCTGTTTTTCCATGTAAACACTGCTGCTGTGAATCATATCTGGATGTGTTAGTACCTATCTGTGGCCTTTGTGTATTCAATTATTACTTTTTGTTATATTTCTGTGTATTTATTCAATCTCATGTGTTAATTAAATTGTGCTTTTTTTTAGAAAATGAGATGCTTTGAAATTCATACCATGCTAATAATATTCATTAGGATGGTGAATGCAGAAAAGTTGTAAAAATAAATCAGAAAAGGAATGTTTGATCTCAAGATGATAATGTCTGTTGCGGGTGTTTTTCAGAATAAGATGTTCATCTATCGAGGGAAGGAGTATGAGCGACGGGAGGACTTTGAGGCCAGACTGCTCACTCAGTTCCCCAACGCTGAGAAGATGAAGACCACGACCCCTCCCAGCGAGGACATCAGGAGCTCCTCTGGACAGTGTATCCTCCAGCCGCACTCACAGCACATGCTGACAACAACAACAGAAATCTGTGTTTAGTTTGACTTCATATCTACAAATTGTCTCTGTTATTGTTTCTTAGTTTGGTTCCAACAGACATTCAGTGTTTCACAGTGAAGCCCATCCTAGAGCTGCCACCAAAGTTCCAGAACAAACCCGTATCAGAGCAGATCATCAGGTGAGAGACTCTGTCTGTCTAACTGTCTGACATTCTATCTCTCTGACTGTCTGTCTTTCTGTCTCTCTCTCTCTATTTATCAGTCATTCTATATCTGTCTGTTTTTGTTCTGTCTGGTTACTTGTCTGTTGGTTTATCTGTTGTTCTAATTATCTGTCTATCGATCTTTCTATTGTTTTGTCAATGTTCTGTCTCTTCTGTTTGTCTGCCATTCTGTCTGTCATTCTATCTATGTCTGTTGTAAGATTATTTGTTCTATTTGTCTCACATTATTTTCCATCTGTCTGCTGACCTGTGTGTGTGTGCGTGTGCATGTGTGTGTGCGTGCGCGTGCGCGTGTGTGCGCGTCTGTGTGTGTGCGCATCTGTGTGTGTGCGTGATGGGTCAGTAAACCGGCAGGCAGATCTCTGGGGTTTGTGTACTTTAGAGCGACTCACCCCGCTGATTAAAATGCAAATGTGCAGTGAGCAAACAATGTTTGACCTTACTACACTCCTCTGTGCTTTAATAAATCACACGCACACACACCTGCAGCAGAAGCATAATTCTGTTTCAGGCTAAATTCTGTGTTACGGGGTAAACAGCGGCGTTATCACTGATCTTGATAAAGCGTCAGAGGTGGCTTACCGCAGCCAATCAGAGCCACCAGGGAGCATGAAAAGCAATTAAAACTCACTATTTACCCACAATTCTGAGTAAATAAGCATCAGAGCCAAAGGTCACATGACAGGATGTGATTTCTATGAGCTCACTGGAGCGTGAACATGTAGAGGAGTTTAAGGGGTGGACACCTTCAGTGATTGAACGCTGGCCTGACACAGTTTAGGTTAATTTTTGCGTTTCTCCTCTCATGCCCCAGGCTGGATCTCTCTCCCCTGCAGCTAATACATTTGTAAATATTGTAATTGGTTATGTGTGTCTTTTTAAATCCGATTTAAATCTGTTGATAACCCAGTCCAGAGGCATGACTCTAAGCATGTTAGCACCGTCATGCTCATTTAAGGTGCGTTGCACAAGTCTGACCGCGCCTGGAATATATGTGGATTGGTGAACTGGGAAGTTCAAATGGTCTAAATTCTCACCTTATTCCCTCTCTTTCTTTTTCATTTAATTGCAAAACAGATATTTTATCATTCAGGCATAATGGCACAGAGAAAGAGGACACCTGTACTCATCGGCACGCTAGTCTGAATGGGTTTGGCTGCACTGTTGACGAGTTTGTGGTTGTTTTGTTAATGTCAGTGGTGTAATTAGGAAACCTTACTCACGTAGCCAAATCTTTGACTAAAAAGCAATAGGTCTGATCCATTGCAGCTTGTTCTGACCAAGAATCAACAGAAAGAGACTAAATGACTGATATGTAAAGCAACCAATTAATTTACCTTCCACTTTTTTTTAGAAAGTTGTTAACCAACCAGTTTTGCCTCCAATTGTATGGTTAAAAACACACTGAAAATATCTCCTTTTATGATCTACAGAAGAATGACATGAGGAGTAAATGTTAACTGAATTTTCATTCTCGAGTCAACTATCCTTTAAAGATCCATTCATTGGTTCGTTCAGTGACTCTTTATGTAGCAGTTAAAAAGTACATGACTTTAAGTATTGTTGTTATGCAGTTGTTACAGTAGTGTGTAAGCTGCTCCACTGAATCATTTTCTCAACAGAAGCACCACTGATATTAGCCTTATTACCCTTTATTATATTTCAAATGTCTGCAGGTCTACTTAGAGACTCAAAAGAGAATAATTTTAAGCATTTTCTCCAGAACTGACAACAAAGCAGATCTATTTTCCTTCATTTAGTCAAATTGCCAAAAATAAATTAATTATGAGTTTCACTTCCACTGCTGGGAAAGCTACTTATCCATTTTGTTCAGTGCGCACAAAAGCAGCGCATTGCCATCAGACCGATGTCATGTTAATTGTGTATAGTCATCAGTCATTTACACTCGTTCATCTCTCACTCAGCGTCTTGTTCAGATTAAAAACAGCATTTAATTCCATGACAGGCGTATTGGTTCAGTAAGTTTGTCCAGTCAATGATATGCTCTTTCACAGACAGCACTATAAAGCTGTGTAGTCGTGTTATAGTCAGTCTTGAAATGCAGAAAATCTGAAAAGCTGTCAAGTTTTTGGGGGGGAAATTTGCATTTTGTACTTTTTGTGATCAAATAAGCCCAAAATATCGGAGAATGGTCAGCATGCTGATGAGTCTCAGTAGTAATCTCAGGTAAAAGATTCATTCACAAACACTTTTCAAGTGTTTAGATTTCCTCTTTTCAAGCACGTCCTTGATGGCACAGTATTGTTGTTCATCATCAAGGCCGCTTTTAGAAGCATGCACATGTATCTCCAGCCTCTTGACCTAATGCAACCCTCTCGAAACCACCAAATGTTCTGGGAATGAATCATTCACTTTTAATTTTTTCAGCTTTTACACTGTGAATGAAGTCCAGAAATTCCAGTATTCACGGCCGGTCCGGAAGGGAGAGAAAGATCCGGACAATGAGTTCGCTGTGAGTTTCCTTTTGCTTTTCTGTGACTACAACATTTCTCCTTTTGTTATTTCACTCAGTGCTTGTGTAAAGTGCTCTGCAGTTCCTCATTTAGAAGAACTCAGAACTGTTTTTCAAATGGCCGTTTGTCTAAAAACCTTTTAAGATAGCTTCACGCTGAGTTATTACAGCAAGACGTCAAACCTGAGAACACAGCACCATTATACTAAAATATAAAGTCTGTCCCACCTCCACGGCTTCCACTTACATCTGCTATTGGTAAACAACCATTAAAATTCAGTAAATGCAGGCTTAAATTGCGGCCACTCTTTACCTGAAATGTGCCCCTTTGCTAAAAGCTTTCATTCTGTTCACTTAATGTTTTGCTCAATTTTTTCCATTCTTCCAAAAGAACATGTGGATTGAAAGGACGACTTTCGTAACCGCCTATAAGCTGCCGGGCATCCTGCGCTGGTTTGAAGTGGTGTCCGTCTCAGCGGTGAGTACAACAGCTTTAGCATCCGCAGTGGTTCATTATATCAGCGATTCTTAATGCATTGAAGGAAAATGAGCAGCCTTTACCGGTCTCACTTCACCTTGACTGAACTCTGATACAGTAGATTTGACCCGTCTCACCCTCTTCTGCAGTCTAAAGTAGACCTAACCTGTTTTACTCACCATATTCTAATGAACCATGGGCATTTATTAAAGGGTGAAGAAGCTCCAAAAGTTCAATACTGTAGCACCATATTCACTAAATTCTTCTAAAGAAAAAAGCAAAAATAAATATTGAGAAGTACTGTACGTAAGAAAGTTCCTAAGTGCAGTTCTTGAAAAATTCCTAAGTTCTCAAATATTTTTTCAAGAAGACAAAGACAGTCTTTGGTGTTATTTGATTGAATTGCCAAAGACTTGCTGATCAACATGAAAAGCTTTTTTTGTTTTGTTTTGAAGTTTTTGCACTGCGTGACGGGAGTTGCTTGACAAGAGTTCAGCACTCAATGTTGCGTTTTTAATGCATTTTGTATTTTAAGTAGATATTTTTAAGCAGCTTGTCTCAAGATGTGATCTGTTGCAGTAAATCTGTGCTGTCTTTCTTGCACTCTCTCTAGAGTGAACACGTATTATTGTTGCAAAATTAATCAATTACTGAATTCAGTTCACATAAATAAACAGCTCTACAGAAGACAATAGCATCATTATTCAGCTGAAGTTAGTTCAATGTTGATTCAATTTTGATGTTGTTCAGTGGGTGACCATACGTCCTCTTTTTCCTGGACATGTCCTAGCTGGGATTTCTAAATTGCCTAAATGTCCAAGTTTTAGCGTTGCCCACATATTTTATGCATATGTATATTTGCATTGCTTTGACCGTTCTCAGTAGATCCCGCCTTCTCGATTGTGTACTGTGTGCATGTGTGTGTGCGTGTGCGCGTGTGGAATAAAAATACAAAACATTCAAAGCAAAAACGGTTAAAACAATCAAGTAAAAGCTAACCTAAAAAAGTATGTTTTTAGATATACACATTCCCTGATATGGGAAGGGAGTGCATTCCAGAGTCTAGCCTGGACAAAGCCAAAACCTGGACATTTTAGGCTGTTTGGAAATCCCAGGCAGGAAAAAGAGGAAGTATGGTGACCCTAAGAGTTTGATTCAGCTATAATGGACTCTACGGAAGAGAGATGTCATTAGTTCAAGTTTTGTTCTCATCCAATAGCATCAGTTCAGTCAAATCAATAATATTGCTGAATATTAAGTGTCTTTTAAACCCCAAAATGAAAATAGACCTGTCTCACTCTCACCACACTCCATTATAGCAGATGTGACCTGTCTCTCTCTCATCTGTCGATCATGCTATTCTGGTCATGTCGTCCTGAATCCGTCCTGCACCGAGGGAGTCGTGGTTACGTGTGCTGGCACGCTGCATGCAGATATTTGACTGTAGAGTGGCTCTAGCATCATGTGATACCCAGACTGCATGCCCTGGTGTTTATCCGTTCTAATTTGCACAGTCTCTTTTTAGCTCTCCTTCTCACCGTCTCAGATTGTTTTCTCTGACGCTTCACGTGTGCTTTCGTTCTCATTAGCCTCGCTGGCACGAGTTTCCCGAGATAGACACATTGATTTCAGATCCTGTCACAGATGCATTACGGGAGCCAGATATTCGAAGAGAACACGTTAACCCATTCGTTAGTACATCAGTAAATGGTTCAGTATAGACTATGACACGCAATTTGACTTGAAATTGTTGTTTCGCTGCTCATTAGTGGAGTTTGTTTGTTGGATTGCAACTTTGGTTGTTGTGTAACAGTAACGTGTTAGACAGCTGGTTAAGTAAGAGTCATCATGTGCTGCTTTGCTAGTAAATTTGTGTAAATTTATTCTGCTTGTTTATTTCTTTGTAAATCATCCTTTGTTATATAAATATGTTTTTGCTTCTGTATGCAGGAGGAAATCAGTCCGTTGGAAAATGCTATGGAGACAATGCAACTGACCAATGAGAAAATCAACAACATGGTCCAGCGCCACTTAAACGACCCCAGCCTTCCCATCAACCCCCTTTCTATGCTCCTCAACGGCATCGTGGACCCAGCTGTCATGGGCGGCTTCACTAATTATGAGAAGGTATGAGATTATTCCGGCACAAAGATTAAACACAGTGAAGCAACAGAAGTTGATTGTATAAACAATTTAAACCATTTTATATTATGAAAGAAGTTTCTCATGCTCATCAAGGCTGCATTTATGTGATCAAAAATACAGTAAAATGGTGAAATATATTTGCAATTTAAAATAACTGCTTTCTATTTGAATATATTTTAAAAAGTAATTTATTCCTGTGATGAAAGCTAAATTTTCAGCATCATTACTGCAGTCTTCAGTGTCACATGATTCTAATTCTAATATGCTGATTTGATGCTCAAGAAACATTTCTTAGTATCAGTGTTGAAAACAGTTTTGCTTTGAATGCAGTTGTGATTTGAAATTGAAATTATAGCATTATAAAAGTCTTTACTGTCCCTTTTGATCAATTTAGTGCATCCTTGCTGAATAAAAATACTGATTTATTCAAAACAATCTTGGTAGTGTATATTTAGAGGGTTGTATGTGTTTTTGTTTTGTTTTGTTTTTTACTTATAGTTGTTGTTTTATCATCTACAGGCGTTTTTCACTGAGAAATACATCCATGAACATCCAAATGACAAGGAGAAGATTGAAAAGCTAAAGGATCTGATTGCCTGGCAGGTAATGATATGATCATACATGTCTAAACAGCAGTGCTAGGGGATATATTGAATATTCATGAGGTATTTGTCATGATTTTGCTGGAAATATAAAATGAAGCAATATGTTTTAAGTTCCCCAACCGCTTCCATGTCACATAAGTACTACAGCATTGAGTTTCAGTGTTTTAATAACATATTTGATTTAAAATTCAGTAGCAACTTGCTATTAGTATAACATTTCTTAAATCAATTCAAGCTGTCCTTCAAAGAATTGATTCAAAAATTAAAAAGCTGTATATAACTTTTCTCCAAAGTTTTCTGACTAGCATGCACGATGTGAGATCACAGTTCTTCAGAAGATCTTAAAGCATCTGTCACGCTGTATAAATATCCAGTGTGAGGTTTTATTTAAAGCAAAGTCTTCCGGGGATTCACTGATGTACATCCACATGTTGGGTGAAGCAGCACATGTCTGGTGCTGCAAACTGACTTTATCATCAAATCTAAAGGCTTTTATCTCTCTTTACTCAGTCAAAACAGAGATGATGGATACGGGGCAGAGCAACACATCAAATCCTCCTGCTGTCTTGCCCGTGAGATTGTGTATGTGTGTGAGATAGAGATCTACAAAAGATGATCTTAACGCTGATGAAGCTTAATTAATAGCTGTTTAGTGGGAAATGTATCCCATGCCAATGACAAATAAGTTTTGTTTCTCTCCAAAAACAACACCTGCTGTGTGTCATTCAGCACAATAACGTGTCGCTCGCTGACAGCTCTTTTTGATGATTTTATTTTATTTTTTTAAGAGAGTTAGCTCATGTGATGTGCTGAAACTGCTTTATTTAATCAAGCATTCCAGGTCCAAAATGACCGGCTTTTAAAAAGTGCTTGTAAATCTCCCATTATACTTTATCACCAATTCCTGGATTTGATCTTTTTGTCAACTTCTTTTCTTTCAGTTAGCACAGCTTGTGTATTTATTTCTGCATGTGATTGGTCATAGGCCTTATTTGTGGATAATTTTGGCAGTGTTCAATTAAAAGTCCTACAATAAGCTATTTCCAAAAAGAAATACAAAAAAAGTTGTTCTAATTGAAAGAAAGCAAGTTGATAAGACTGAAACCAGTATTTTGTAAAAATATAACAAATGAGAGATTTACAAGCAATTTGTTTGTAGGCGGGTCATTTTTTCAACATTAAAAGTGTAAGAAGATGGTAAAAAAAATTCTAAATAACACAAATTATCCACATTTTTTATTATACCCTGTATGAACAAAGTCAGTAAATTTTGGCCTAACGCAAAAATAGGGCTGGGTAAAAAATATCGATATCTCGATTTTAATCGATTCTCATTTTTATGAAACGATATTGATTCTTAAATCCAAAGTATCGATTAGTCTAGTCTGTTTTCCGTTAATGGATGGAACATTGAAACACACCTCCCATCCAATAAATCGCAATAAGCATTGTGCGTTGGTACTTGAAACAAAGTCTCAGATTTAAATTTATGCCCATTGTATTGCAGCATTCAAACAATAAATGCCGTTTTGGCATTGTTTAATGTGGAGTGACAGATCGCTGTAGCGCCTCAGTTCAACAGATCGCTGTAGCGCGAGACGCACGTGAACTGATCATCTCCTCCACATTAATACCAGTTTCAGCACAAAATAAACATGACTAAACATCCGAAGGTAAGTTAAAAGAAAGAGTACAACTTTAAAATACGTATCCTGTCTCATGTAATCGCTTAATCAGTGTTTCAGCCGCGCAAAGACGAGCACATATCAGTCAATTTTAACCTTCAATATTATAATGTAGTACCAACTGACTCTCATGTATATTTTACAGCATTAGTTGAGAGATTTTTTTTCCTTAAGAAAATTTGGCATGTACTGTTACTGTACCTGATATATATCCAAAATAATCAATATTGAATCGAATCGAATTGAATTGGTAATCGAATCGAATCGCAAGCTTGTGAATGAGAATCGAATCGAATTGTGAAATTTGTGTCAAAACCCAGCCCTACGCAAAAACATTAACTAGCAATTAAAAAAAAAAAAGAAAATCCTCTCTGGGTCAAAATGATTCTCAAACGATTTGTTTAAAGCAGTTCTAAGATTCAGTCTCTCTAAACCCCTCCTTTCCGAGAGCCTTCTCTGCCCTGATTGGTCAGAAGGCCCAGTCTGCTGTGAATGGTCTACCGCCTACAACGCATGTCAGAAATGATACGCCATCGCCATAGTTCTGTATTTTGAACACTTGATAGAAAATATAAACATCTATTATTTATCATACTTACAGGTCGTGATTCTGTGGAGCCAGCTGGTCCAAATATTCAGTCCAAACACAGATTGGGTTTGTACTGCTGTGGTAAAGTGGAAAAAATGAATTTGAACCACTGATTCTTTAACCACTGATTTACATTATACCATATTAATAGGGATGTTTTGGCCTTTTGCATGTGTTCTAGAGGCCTGGAAAAGTCTGTAATGGATATAAACTTTTCTAGTAATCATGGAAATGCATTGGTTGAAAATTGTTGGAACAGATTTTACAAGAGAGCAGTTTTGTGCCTCTCCTGTTTGACTTTGACTTGTTCTCTGTCGCGTGTGTGATGAATATTCATCAGTCTGAGCAGCTGTCCGAGCGTTCAGCCTGTTTGTCTGATTCGGCTGGACATCGTATATAGTTACTCTCGGCACATAAACGCTTCTGTTGCATAATGGTTATTGAAGGACTCGTTCTCTTCAGGGACGTGGACAGAAATGTAAGGACACCGAGAGGCTGGTGTGTTGTTGTGTTTTCAGACAGAAGAGAAGACAGACAGCCGCTGATGAGCTTTTTCGTGAGCAGAACAGATGTGAGGTATTGATGTAACTCCATATAGTTTGGACCAGGGATGGAAAACAAACCTGTCAAACTCTCTCTGCTACAGAAAAGCTATAGATTCAACACATCTGCTGATGTGTGTGTTTGCTGTATAAACATGATTCTGTAGCTTCCTGCATGTCAGTAATGTGTGGAGATTCATGGTTGTCTCATCTTGAGAGAGCTGGCAGCAAGTTTTGATGCTTTTGATGAATTGCCATCTACAAATTACAAATGGGTTATTAAAACTGGTGCCTTTCATGTTCAAAAAGATCAGCCTGGAAGATTTTAAATATTGTACAAGACCAAGCATATTGTATTTAACATGTCAATCTAAATTAATAAATTAATTGGTGCAGTTCGTTAACAATTAATGCATTAGCTATCACAAACTAAAGATAAACAACAGCTATTTACTGTATTTTTTAATCTAGATTAATTCAATGTTAATAGTAATTTATAAATACACATTTATTTATTGTTAACTCTAATACAGAAAATATCTTTATACGTGTGTGTTTAGTATGTTTAATACAGCAGTTATTATAGTTAACTAAAACTGAAAAATGTTTGTTACTTCAAATAAAATAAACATTACCTGAAATAAAATATAAAAAAAATATTTGTTAGTTGCAACATTTCTTAATGTAGTTTAACGTGATGTACTAAAATAAAAAACTATATAGACATTTAAAAATAAAAAATAGCAAACATTCGCAGCAAAATAATACGTTAACTAAAATTGAAATAAAAATGGAACATAAAATTAAAACTGATTCAAAATATTAATACATAAACTAAATAAACATTAATAAACTAAAACACCATTTCAGTGATACTAAAATAACACACAGCAACAGAAGTTAGAGAAAAACACATTTAAAAACAAAAAAGCATTTTTGATATTGTTTAGAAAAATGCTTGTGATGACACAGTAAAAGTCATTATGTACACATTAAAGAGAGAACGTTTTGTAAAACAACCCGAATGCATTTCTGACTTGATGTGAAGGCTGTTTGATGCCATTTGTTGAATGTATCAATCTTATTGTTTTTGACTGTAGCTTTTAATAACGTTTTATTTTTTTCTCACGTATTCATGTCAGGTCAGGACATTTGCATGAGATGAGTTACAGCAGCTGTCATCCTGTCAGGGAATAAAGTATGTCTCATGCTTTATCCTACCTCAGATGTGTTTTAAAGACGTGTTCCTCCGCAAAGACGATGACAAGCTGAGTCGCACAAATCAATTGTGGAGACGGCATGAAACGCAGTTCAGAAAAGCTCTGTCTTTATTATATAGTCAGAGAAATGGTTATGAAATCCTGTTTTCTCAGGCATGCGTTGATGCCATCTTACCACAAAGATCATTATTTACACTTAAATGGTCAATTGTTATAGATTTGTCAGTGTTTTGTTTATGCAGTATTTCTTGTTTATGCAATCACAGACAAACACTTTAACTCCGCAGAGTTTGCGTTTGACAGCATATGAGGAACCCAAAGCCACTTTTTCGGTAAGATATGGCGATCAGTACACCCATCCTGAAGGTAGAACAGGCAGGCCGCGTGTACATTTTTCACACGCCGCTATCGATGCTCTGTCAAACCGGCTGACACTGAAGTCATGTAAACAGTGGTGAAAAGGCAGGACAATCCCCTGCAGATTTCAGCTTTTGATTAAGTTTGCTTTGTGCTGTTTGGTCTCAGAGCGCAGCCGGGTCTTGGCTAATGTGTATATGTGCTGCTCTCTCGCAGAGCCAGAGCTGTTATTCACAGAAATCAGGTGCTTTTGTTTGCTCTGCTTCATTCATGTCAGCCTGCATCTTCTGCACTGAGAAAAACACACTTCAGTTGGTAACGTAGCATGAGGATCTGGTGAGTTTATTGTGTGTTAATGACAAGCAATTCATCCAGCGCTGTGTTGATGGACTGTGTGATGAAGCATATGAAAAATCAAAGCATGATGCATATCTCTCTGCCAGCTTGCATTGTCATAAATGGTGCAAAAACATCACGTCCCGCTCACTTTCAGAGCCTCTAGTCTATGTGATACTTGATTAGTTTCAGGGCAGATCACAAGAATTTAGACTTGTACATAAACTCCAGATGAACCCAGATGATCTCAGATGTCGCTTCACTCATAA